AGTAGTCTCTCCTATAACACATGGAAGACCCAGTCCCTGGTCATGAGTAGAGACGGGAACTAAAGTCAATTTGGGCCTGCCAAGGATATGCAAACACAGGATTGCAAATATCTCTTGGAAAGATGTCTTTCTTTCATCTAAGACAACTTCAAGAAGTAATTTTCTCTTTGTAGCTAGAGCTGGGATGACAGGCATGTCACTAACTATCTAACTCCCAGTCATTTTAAAGGAGTGCTAACTTAGGATGAAACCAATACTAGGAAATCACAATGAACACAAGTCCTTTTTGATGTTTAGGAAAAAAAACCACAGTTTTCCTTTGTTTAGGAAAACCAACTCCAATGTCCCCTCAACACCAGAGTGTTCCTTCTAGAGAGAGGATAAGGCACTTAGATTTGGGGTACCAGTCCTCACCTTCTCTTGTTATTTCATTCTGAACTACCTGTTCTGGCTGGACCATGAGCTTCCAGAGATGCTCCTATCTCTGCCTCCCATCCCACTGCAGGAGTGCTAAAATTACAGATTCATGCTGCCACGTCTGGCTTTATGTGGATTCTGAAAATCTAAACTCGGGTACTTAATGTACTGAGCCATCTCCTCGGCCCACAAACTCTCATTTTTTAAAATAAATAAATTAGGATCCAAAGATCTGAAGTGGTGTATGCAAGGTGATGCAGTCTTCCCGTCCTGAGTTATGTAAAGCTGGTGTGGCTCTCAAAAGTCTTCACTGCTACACTATTGCTCGCTCCACTCAAGCTCCAGAATCATCTTCATTGAGAATATTTGCCTAAACGTTCCAATGTGCTAAGTTAGTTGTGATGACCATAGTCTTTGAAATGCCTTTAGATTTCCTTAGAAGAAACTCTCTCTAGAAATAGATATTCTCAATTCTTTCTCAAAAGACATACCCCCAAACCTATGGAGGCAATTTGGTTTTCAGATGTAGACACCATGAAATAATATGTAAAGCTGTTGAAAATATAGATCACACAGCTCACCCCCAATCAAGAAAAACATTAAAAATTCTACCCAGCTCAGCCGCTTCAGTACACTTTTACACTACACATGATGTTGCTGAATATATAAAATACTTGGATCTAAATTTAAAAATGCTCCCCCTCCCCTTGATTAACCAGATTGTCCCCTCCCCTATATATAGGAACGCTATGTGCCTGAGCCCACTTGCCATCTGTCATCATATTTTCCAAACTTCTCTTCCACCCCCTCCTCTTACACAATTTTATCACATAAAAATATTAGATTTCAGGGATTTGTATAATTTCATGAATTTTCTGAGCCAAGTGAAAATAGAAGAACTGGTATATGAAATTGCCTCAGCTTTTCAGTGCCCAACACATATCCACAGCAGCCAACTTGCATGGCCAAGAACCGCAAGTCAGTTTTCCTCTATTGTAACATTTCACATTAGGAATTTGCAAGTGTTTCGAACATTACAAAGTAGAATTCAAATAACTGCCAGAAGTTTCTGGCTCACAGAGCATTGTAATGCTTTGTTTATTACATTGGTGATATTTAGTGACTTTCCCAGTATCATTGGGAAACGTTCACAAGTCAACTAGAGATTGTCCATTTTGTGTCCCCTCTAATGGTTGGGAGATGAGTTTTTTTTTTTTTTTTTTTTTTTGGTTTTTCGAGACAGGGTTTCTCTGTGTAGCTTTGCGCCTTTCCTGGAACTCACTTGGTAGTCCAGGCTGGCCTCGAACTCACAGAGATCCGCCTGGCTCTGCCTCCCGAGTGCTGGGATTAAAGGCGTGCGCCACCACCGCCCGGCATGGGGGATGAGTTTTACCCACCTAAGTATATGATACCTCTAAGGCCAAGGGCTTCAACTAGAAGCCTAAGAGCCTACCTTGGAAGTTTTGTTTCTACTTCTCACATGCAACCACAAGAAGTCTCAGCCAATATTCTTGTTTCTGAGCCACAGGAAGTCAATGAGGAATGTCCATGGAGATTGACTCTGAAGTATAAAGCTCACGGTGAAGGGGCTGGTTCTCTTACTATGTTCTCACCTGTCTTTCTATAAGATTTTTTTTTAAAAAAAGAGATTAGTAATGAATATCCTGAAATGATTACTAAGTATCCTAATCTCTCCCCTATGCTCCCTGGGTTAGTTCTAAGGCCTCATGGATCTCAGTCACATGACTTAAGCTTGTCCAATTAGGAATTCCTGTGCTTTATCACCAGATAATGGTCCAAATGTGGGAACATGACCAAAGAAGATCCTTACACAGAAAGAAATTGACTTTCTGGGCTACTAGAATCTTTTTTTAAATTTTATTTGTTTTTTTAATCTATGTAAATGTCTATCCATGATTATGGAGAATACAAGCAGACCGACAGGTAAAGGAGAAAAACTAGATACAGGCAGTACTATTGTTATTAACAGCCCGCTGCCCCTTGCAGTGTTCTCAGTAAACCTGTTTTCTTACAGACACACACACACACACACACACACACACACACACACACGGGGAGGATGGGTAGGTAGATAGACAGACAAACAGAAAGACAGACAGAGGCTAAAAGGTAGAAATGGAGGAGATAAGGGGATTTTTAAAAGATTTATTTTATGAATATATATGTGCCTATGCATGTGCACCATATGTGTGCAGTACCCACAGAGCCCAGAAGAAACCACTGGATCCCTTGAAATAAGAATTATGAGTGGGTGTGAACTGCCTGGTACAGGTGCTGGGAACCAAAGTTGAGTTCCCTGAACATCAGCAAGTGTTCTTAACTACTGAGCCATCTCTCCATCCCTAAGATTAGGGTTAAAGAAAGAGTTTGCAAACTATGATCTGCCTTCCATTCCATAAGCTTTAACAAATCATACAAACTGTCTAAACAAAGGGCTAATGGGATATACTTAGAAGAGGAAGAGTTGGAAATATTTAGAAAATGCCCTGAATACTCACCCAAAGGATTATTATTAGCCTCACATTTCCCATGAGGGAGTACAGTGTGGAAAGATAGGAGACTTCCTGAAGGCTTGACACTAAGAAGTATAAATGGAATCAAAGTGAGTATGACTCTAAACACCAAACTCCTTTATGTTCTCTCATGTCAATGTCCTTTCTAATCAGCGCTGCATTGTGTGGTTGAATGGGATTCTAGGTTTACATGACAGAGGACCAAGTAATGGATTTACAATGTTTAGGTTTGATGAGCTGAAAAATAGGAATCCCTTTTGCCTTTTTAATAAAACACATTTATGTAATACCACAGTACTTAAGAGTAGTGTGAGTCTTTAGCTAGATTTGGATCCAGGGTACAGTACAGAATCTCCCGTAAGATAATATAAGGAGAATAAAAGGAAGGTAGGGATGAAAGAAAGGTTGGAAGAAGGAAATAAGATGGAAAGAGATGGAGAAATGAATAGGTGGAGGGCAGGTTTTAGACAGAGACCTTCCCTATTCTTGAGTACCTTAAGTATAATTCTTTCTTAAAAGGTTCAGGTTCAAATATTTATGAGACAGAGTTACTATTATTTTTAGAGGCTTTGTCAAGTGTAAAAGAGGAGGACAAATCTGTTTGTGAAGGAAGTTTACAGTACACTTAAAAGTTTATTTTAAAAATAAATAGGACTTGATAGATAGGGCAATAAACAGTAGACCCTGTCTGCAACCTGCCTACAGCAGTGACAGGGAGCTTCTGCAGGCTGCCAGAGCCAGAAATAAGAATGAACACTTCTTCCTGTCACAAAGTTCCAGGAATATCCACAAACAAAGAGGGTATTTGGGATGTGGCATCTGTAAGCCAAGTGGCTCTGTCATATCACAGTTTGTGTGGAACACACCCACACAGGTAGTCACATCTGAGTCAGATGTTTCTGGATCTCTTTGCAGTGAGTTCCCATTTTTGTTTTAGGTAGAAATAATAATACCATATGCAAGCCAGGGAGGAATTTTTTAGAAAAATCAAGAGCCAGAGGAAGATTAATCTTTGTAACACCTCAATAATCATGTGGTCAAAACAAGTCCTTCTGTGTCCACCACCCCAACACTAATCATTATATTCTCATTTATTGAACACACAGGAGTATGAGTAGTTATTTACATGTGCCTCCTGTATACTGAACAGGATTGTAGGAAGAAGGAGGCAAACATGAGAAAGAAAAGCAATTTCTGTCTTCATGAAACTTCATATTTTATTGAGGAGAAAGGTGTAGAAACAGATATACAAAGTGATTACACACACGAGTAATAGACAACAATCAAAATCATAATGGAATTGACCACTTGGGCACAGGGTGGGATGTTCTGAAGGGAATGACCCACAGCTCTTTGGGGTGATAACCTTTGTGCCAGAGCCTGAGCCATAAGGACTGCTCATGAAATGGAAAAGTACAATAGATATGCAGTCCTGTTTCAATTAGTAAAGACCATGTCTAGAGATAAAAATATCATGCTATAGGGTTATAAAGCTCCTTGGCTTGGGAATCTTCTGGTCTGAGTACATTTTGTCACTTAACAACTACATGCCTTTCAACTAGCCATGTACATTTTATAATCTGTATCTTTTTCTATACAGATTATTTCTATACAGTGGGGGCTGGGGAGTACTGCTCTGAAAAATTATAATGCTTGCTTTCCTATTCCCGTGGTGTGAATACACATTCTCCCTTTTCCCTTTCTCTCGAGTGCACACATACATACACAGTGACATATACACAGACCATATGTGTTATGTCCTCTACTTTCCAACCACTATCAGAAACACACATTGGGCCAACTAAATGTTCATTCAATAAAATTTGACTATAAGTGAAATATAACATTTATCTTTAGCCCTTTCCAAAAAGTCATCTTTTCTGAAATACCTCATTAGCAATCTGGAATGATCCCTGGGTACATGCCTGTGACTATATTGTCTTATAAGATATCCCACACCTTCTCAAACTTCTGTGGTGATATTTTATTTGTGCTGAGATGTGGTGCTATTTTATTTGTGCTTTAATAAAGCTTGCCTGGAGATCAGGCAGCACACGCCCTTAATGCTATCACTTATCAGGCAGGGTCTCTGTGTGTTCAAGGCCATACTAGGGAACACAGTCAAGTGTGGTGACACACACCTTTAATCCCAGTACTAACCATAGAAACCTGGAGGTCTGTACAGACAGACAGTGATAAGGAAGTGAGGCAGCTGGGCTAACATAGCCAATGAGAGAGTAAAACAACAAGGTAATAAAGGTGTGGGTAGACAGGAAGTAGCTTGTATTTGGAAGCTGCAGAGTTGGTGAGGTAAAGTTGGCTGATGGTTTTCCCTATTTCCCTTACTACCACCACACTAGGTAGCTGCTTTGAAATTCCCTCAGACTTCTACTGTTCTGTACAGCTGACAGATTTGGTAAGTCAATTAAGATATCTTAAAGGATGAAATTAGTTAAGAGATTTTTTTTCCCCACATTAAAAAATGGGAAACATTTTTACAAGGGAATGAATTTGGTCTCTGTTTGATAACACATTAGGCAGTCTGACAAGGGAACAATTAAATGAGAGAATAATTAATGTTGATGGGATGTATGTAACATCAATTATCAATATTATTTGTTTAATCACTTTTAATTTATATTAAAAAGGTCAGTCAATTTCAGAGCCAAGATAAAAGCTTTAGAAAAACCTGTTAAAATGAATTATAGAGAAATTCAGATCTAGACAGGAGAATTTAAAGGTGAAATTATTTCAGGATTGAATTATATGGTTACAGAAAGACAGTCTGTTTTCAAACAACCAAACTTAATCTATCCAGTAACTTTACAGGAACTACCTGCTCAAGGGCATGTATAAGCTAATTGGACTCCAGTGGAAATGTTAGATTTAAGGGGATTTAAAGAAGCTATACTCACATATGGTATGCTGCTATGGGATAATGCTTTGTACACTGGTTTAATAAAACACTGATTCTCCATTTGTAAAGTAGATGTTAAACTCATGGTCAACTTTTAATAGAATTGTCCCTCAGGACTGGAAAGAATTAGTTACAGCAGTCCTAGAGGCAAGGGTACAATTACAATGGAGAACATGTTTCAAAGAGGAGACTAAAACAATAGAGCAACAATGTGAGACTAGAGGTGTGGAAATTTCCCAGGATCAGCTTCTTGGTGAAGACAAATACACTGATATATAAAGACAATGTTTATATGGTAACCAAATCTTAATTCTATGCCACATGGCAGTCATGAAAGCATGGGATAGAATTGAGGAAGCAGAAAAGAAAATTGAATCATTTACAAAAGTTATACAGGGCCCCAGAGCATCCTTCACAGATTTCTTACAAAGGCTGTCTTCAGCAGTAAATAGAATGATACCAAATTCAGAAGCTAGACAGATAATAATTGAATCTTTTGCTTTTGAGAATGCGAATGCAGGATTCAAAAGAATAATCAGGCTGTTAGAAGCAAGATCATCACCCTTGGAGGATTGGATTAGGGACACAATTAATATTGAGTTTCATGACCATGGTGAGATGTGGATAGGAGAGGTGATTTCAAAAGTTTTGAGGAAAAATAATATCAGATGTTTTGGATATGGTAAACAAAGTCATTTGAAAAGGGAGTATAAATAGGGTGTTCCTAGAAAGAATGATTATTCAAGGAAAAAGAGCAACAGAATGCCCCTCCCTTCTGGAGTATGCAGAAGGTGTGGTAAGGGTAAACATTGGACCAACCAATGGAGATCAACAAGGGACAGACAATGTAATCCTTTGCCTGTGCCCTCAGGAAACTCCCAGAGGGGCCTCATTCAGGCCCCCATAGCAAATTTAGTTCAGACCTTTCCTGCCATCATAGAATAAACCCCTTCTCAGAGCAATTAAATAACCAAATGCCTATTGAAATAAACCTGGCTGCTTGGGGTGGTAGACTAGCTGTAGCAGAGAGAATAGGAAATTCAGGAGAAACCATAAAGTGAATTTTTTGGCAAACTTCTATAAATGAGCAAAGATCAAAATTAAAAATACGAATAAATGACGTTTTCTTGGGTGGTTTAGTAGACACAGGTGCAGATGTTACAATAATTGCACCAGAATTTTGGCATCCAAACTGGCCTCTTCAGAAGGTAAATGTTCAGCTAGTATGGATTGAAACATTATCTCAAGTGAAACAGAGCACAATATGGCTTGAATGTATAGTACCAGAAAGACAGAGAGGAAAATTAAAGCAATATGTAGCTAATATAACCATGAATTTATGGGGCCACAATCTATTACAACAATAGAATACTCATATTAACATTCCTCCAACCTCAGAAACAAATCATAAACTAACGCATGTTTCTGAGAGAAATATTAGGAGGTATTATTATTATAAAGAGCAGTAACCAAACATCCAGATTGTACAAGAACAAGGTACAACAACTGCTGATCTTTCAAAAACACCAGCAGCTCTACCTTTAAAATGGTTAACAGACAAGCCTATGTGGGTTCAGCAATGGCCTTTAACAACAGAGAAACTGCAGGTTTTCACCAGCCCTTGGAATTCTCCTGTATTTGTTATTAAAAAGAAATCTTGTAAATGGAGAATGGTAACAGACCTAAGAACAATTAACAAAGTAATTCAGCCTATGGGCTCTCTACAATCTGGAATTACTTTGTCTACTCTGTTACCTAAAGGGCAGTCTCTTATAGTTATTGATTTAAAATACTGTTTCTTTTCAATACCCTTACAAGAAAAGGACAGAGAAAGATTTGCCTTCACAGTGTCTACTTATAGTAATTCTCAGCTGGTTAAGAGATATCAATGGAGGATTCTCCCACAGGAAATGTTATATAGCCCAACCCTGTGCCAATATTTTGTACAACAGCCATTGGAAGTAATACATAAACAATTTCCTAAATCTATAATTTATCATTACATGAACAATATTTTACTAGCTGATTCAAGTCCAGATACTTTACAAAGAATGTTTAAAGAAGTAAAGAAAATTTTGCCCTGTTGAGGATTACAAATTACTCCTGAAATGATAAAGAGGAGATTCTATTAATTATTTAGGATGTAAAATAGGTCTACAGAAACTTAGACCCCAAAAGGGGCAAATTAGGAGAAATTGATTACAGACTCTTAATGACTTTCAGAGATTATTCGGAGACATTTCCCATCTACAAAGTATTGCTGGGGTAAAAAATGATAAACTGAGTAATTTGTTCAAAACCTTAGAAGGTAACAAGGACTTAAATAGTCCAAGAGAATTATCAGCTGAAGCTGAGAGATGATTGGCCTTGATGGAAAAGAAAGTACAGGAAGGACATGTGGATTGCGTAGATCCAAAGCTTGACCGCATTTTGGTTATTTTACCCTCTAAGCATTCTCCTACAGTAATTTTAATGCAGAAGGAAGATATTACATTGGAATGTATTTTTCTACCAAATAAACAGAGTAAAAAATTAAAAATTTATGTGGAAAAGATCTCTGACTTGATTTTAAAAGGAAAATTGTGACTTTGTCAATTAGCAGGAATAGACCCAGCAGAAATCGTCATACTTTTAACTAAGGATGAAATTGAAAAATAATGGGAAGAAACTGAACCTTGGCAAAGAGCTTGCAGTAATTTTTTGAGAGAGATTAACAGCAAACATCTCAAAAGTGATAGAATTCAACTTATAAAGAGATCTGATTGGATTCTGCCTCAAATTGTTCAGGAAACACCTATATCTGAAGCCCATACATTTTATAGAGATGCAAACAAACAAGGAAAGGCAGGTTACAAATCAGAAAATTTAAGTAAAATGGCTCAAAGTCCTTATAATTTGGTTCAAAAATCAGAATTGTATGGTATTCTATTGGTATTAATGGATTTTTCTGAACCTCTCAACGTAGTTACTGACTATGCTAAAAGAGTGGTATTACATATTGAGACTGCAGAATTTATTCCTAATGAGTTAGAATCAACTTTATTATTTATTCAGTTACAAGATATAATAAGGAATGGGCAGCATCATTTATATATAACTCACATCCAATCCCATATGGGTCTGCCGGCCCTCTAGTACAAGGTAATGATGAGATTGATAAATTATTGATAGGAAATGTGCTGGAGGCCTCAGAATTTCATAAAAAAACATCATGCCAGTAGTAAAGGCTTAAAAAACGGTTTTTCCATAACCTGGCAACAAGCCAAGGAAATGTCCTACTTGTTCCTTTTACAATCTGACATCATTACCAGCAGGATGTAACCCAAAGGGTACTCAGAGGAATGAAATCTGGCAGATGGATGTGTTTCACTTTGCAGAATATGGGAAACTGAAATATATACACCATACCATTGATACTTATTCAGGATTTCAATGGGCAACTGCTTTGGGTTCTGAAAAAGCTGATTCTGTAATCATTCATTTGCCAGAAGTTATGGCCATCATGGGTATACCTGCACAAATTAAAACTGAAAATGCTCCATCATATGTCTCTGTTAAAATGAAACAGTTTGCTTATACAATATAAAGCATATTACAGGTATACCACATATTCCTACAGGCCAAGCAGTCATAGAAAAATAAAATCAAACTCTAAAGGACATGCTAAATAAACAGAAGGGGGTAACAAAACCCCCCAGAAATAGATTACATAATGCTCTATTAACTTTGAATTTCTCAGTGCTAATGAGAAAGGAACAACAGCTGCAGAGAGACATTGAATAATAGAAAAAACTACAGAATTAAATCAGCCTATCTATTTTAAAGATGTGCTGACCTCAGAATGGAAACCAGGATATGTGTTACGTTGGGGACAAGATTTTGCTTTTGTTTCTACAGGAGAAGATAAGCTGTGGATACTATCAAAATTGATAAAGGTCCAATTTGAACAAGAGAGACTTCTTAATTAGAAGTGGTGATAGTTCATCAACCAGCATGACCATCCAATTTAAACTAGTTTATACCTCTAACAAATGCTTTTCATTTAATCAGATATAACTTACCAGAAGGGAACCTACCCAAAGTTAGGCTTGGGGAAGGGTTTTTGTTTTTGTCTTTCAGGAGAATGAAGGCTAAGGAATCTGAAGAACACTGGACAAATGAGATATCTGAATAAAAAAGGACAAATCATCCAGAAAAAATATGCCAAGAAAAAGAGTAAATTGGCCTATTGGTATATTACCTATAAAATTTCGTAAGTCTTCCTAAATGTTTGTTTCTGCTCTTCTCAACAGACACTTAACACAAATGGTCTTTATGTAGTCCCAGTTAAATTAAAAATTAAAACTGGCTTTGGAGTTGAAGAATGGCTCTCTCTTTCTTTAAATCCAAGTATGTTGTTAAAAGAAAAATGCAAAATCTCTGTAGCATGTCAGAATAAAGAGCCATCTGATATGGGACAAAAGAAAACCAAAAAATTAAGGGACTATTCTATTGTAACTAATCTCAATTCTTTGATTCTGTTTTGATTCTTTAAACTTTTCTTAGGGTATGAGTTTTATATCAAAATTTATAAGATTAAAATATGTATATTTTAAACTTTCATTGTGATATTAATGGTCATATAGAGTACTAATTAATTCTAGAAAAAAAGGCTTCATTTAGCTGCCTATACATGTTTTTTGTGTTTGAGTCTCTATCAGTTTTCTTCATGGAACCATGACCAGGCCTAACAGTGAATTTGAAGTTTCCATAAAGATAATGGAGCCTCACAATGATGATTCCATGTGGACAATAATAATCCCACTAAACTGACAAACATCACCAAAAGATTGGCTTTGAAATACAAACTGCTCAGGACAATTTCGAGATGGCTAGCTGAGATGATCTAGCCTCACTGACTATTTGAGGGATGACTTGAGATAAGCCCTGCACTTTTGCATTATGCAGAGACTGGACAACAAATGATACAGCTACCACTCTGGAACTTGACAATTAACCCAAAATTTGTCTTTTCAGGATCCCCTAAAGATGCCTTCACCCACAGCAGGAAGTAATTTTTTTTTTCCCCGGGGAAAGATAACCTTTTATTGGATCCAGGTAAGGAAAAATTTTGCTGTGATGAGAAATATTATGCATCTTATGTTACATAGTTTATAAAGATGAATTAATACATCTCAAGTTGTATTTCAGGTTGATTTAAGAACAGGACACCCATATTCCCAAGAGGTGGGGTGGGTGGTTTTTAGTCTTTCAGTGGGTTTCAGGTTTGGGATAGCTGTCATTGTTTAGGAGGGTTGATTACAAGATGTTGTTGTTAATGGTCAAAAAAAGGGCTAAAGAAAAGAGATTAGATTTAAGGTTTTTGTTTAAAACAAAGAGGATATAGATAAGAGGTAGATTATTGAATCTACTCTGAAAAGAAAAAAAAGAGGATATAGATATGATATAGATAAAAAGGTAGATTACTGAACCTACTTTTAAAAGACAACTATTAGTTTTAAATACTTTACATTGGATTGGATTTTTATATATTGTACACAAATTAGATATATTGTGATTGCTATTGTTAGAAAATGCTGTACATATATTTCTAATCTTGTTCAGGATGTTGTACCTATATAGTTCATTTAACAATGTAATGCAAATTTGCTAATCCTTGAATATTACCAAATATTAGGATATAAAGAAATGAAAGTTAGTAGTTAGACATTATAATCAAACTTATAGTCTTATTAGGTATATTCCAAGATCAAGCAGAGATATATTTTAGATAGACAGGTCATCTTCAAATCCTTCAGAGATCTACAGAATATGACATTTAAAATGTTTAAATAACAGATTTTTTTTATGACTATGAGCCATGCCGGCTCCTGGCAGCACCAATCTACTTCAGAGAAGATATGGGCATTGAAGAAACTGCATATGGAGTTAACTTTCACTGTGGCAAAAGTTAGCCACTGAGCAATAAAGGGCCCTCAAATCAACTGCTGACAGTATGATATCCAAAATGGACAAACAGGACACAAAACAAAGGACTACCGATCCTTGCCAAGTGTGGTTGCAGCTTTGGCAATAGGCATCCTCTGTGGCCAAGACAATATGGCACCATCATTGAAGTGGCTTTGCAATCCAGAAAAGGTACAATGCCCCTTTCTTCGAAGGCAGCTGAACAGGCAATGGACTGATGGCTTCTGGTGTGCAGGGAACAGTAGCTGAAACAGTTCTTCTTGAAGAGTAACTAGGCTGATGGAGTCTAACTTCTCAATGGTAGACTGGCATTTAATAAAGGAGTTGAAGCCACCCACAAGCCTAGAAGAATGGGCAGCTGAATTCCAAAAACACCAGCAATTTCCAGAATTTAAAATCCTGAATCATGACAGGACACTGGTGGAATTCAGATTTATCTGGTACATGGACTACTCACACCGAATGTGAGGTCGAACTGTAGGTCTTGTGTACATCCTACTTCACAAATCAGTCTGTCAAATTTGCTAAGCCTGTAGGCTGAAGATGATGCCCCAATGTGCAGAGAAACCTCGGGTGACTGTCCAGGCATCTGGCTGTTTCTGTCAACTCACATTTTTTTGGAAGTTGCTTGTTTGCACTTCCTGTTTTACTAGGTAATATTATTTCCTTCTTGGGTCTCCGAGGGAGTTGAAGAATAGTTATAGTTACAGTTTTCCTTGTTAAGACATTCAGAAAACAAACTCACTAAGAGGTGTTAAGTATATAAGTTTGAAAGACATAATAAGATAGTTTTCTGTTGGTAATATGTTAGGATAGAAAGTGAATTGGACTCACCAAATAGAATAGATAATGAAATATTTTCTCTGAATTTGTCAAATGCAAATGGACTAGACATTGTTGATGTATTTATGGCATGTATATATTATATATAGTTATTGTACTTATTGTATATATAGTTTTTCTTATATTAGTTATAACTTTTTTAATTTTTTTATTTTTATTAGCAAAAATAAAAAACGGGAAATGTGGTGATATTTTGTTTGTGCTTTAATAAAGCTTGCCTGGAGATCAGGGGGAAAGGCCAGCCATTTTAAGTGAACAAAAAGTCAGGCAGCACACGCTCTTAATGCTATCACTTATCAGGCAGGGTCTCTGCGTGTTCAAGGCCATACTAGGGAACACAGCCAAGTGTGGTGACACACACCATTAATCCTAGTACCAACCATAGAGACCTGGAGGTCTGTACAGACAGACAGTGACAAGGAAGTGAGGTAGCTGGGCTAAGAGTCAATAAGAGGGCAGAACAACAAGACAATAAAGGCCTGGGTAGACAGGAAGTAACTCACATTTGAGAGCTGCAGAGTTGGTGAGGTAAGGTTGGCTGGTGGCTTTCCCTATTTCCCTGATCTCTCTAAGGCTTTCACCCCTGTATTTGGCTCCATGTTTTTTTATTTAATAAGACCATTGAGAAATTCGTCTACCAACTCCTGTCACTGAAACTCTGTGTGATACTTTTTCTCCATCTTCTTGCCTCAGTATGCATGAATGCCAGTACAGCTGATCAGAGCAGGAATGAACAATGCCTCAAAGGAGGTCAGCTATCATCTTTCTCCTGCTGGACATTGACATTGTGGGTTAACAGTTTGCTTCCAAGATGTGGATTTAGAGAACATTGACTAGGTTGGTAACAGGACCAAAAATGAAGGGCACTTAAAAGGCTACTACAGTGTCACCAGGGAGCACTGGGGTAGAGTCTGTGGACTCCGTAGCTGGTGGCACTCCCTGAAGAGATTCAACACCGATTCCTTTTCCAGTGTCATTCCCTTTGAGGCCTTGGCACCATGGAGCTTCTTGCTCATGATTTCCAAGGAACTTCTTCCTGTCCTGTCAAGAACCCTGTTTCTGCCTGGACTTCTATAACCAGAGTCCTTCAGCCAAATTCCTTTCATTGAAAAGAGAGGGCTCTTTTGACAAATGAGTTGAAATTACATGGAGATGTTCAGGTCAGCCAGATAAATGAAAAGAACAGTCAATATAAGTGGAGCAAAGGCTGTCTTTTAGGAGACAAGTCAATAGATGTGAGCTGCTGCTACTGCAGGAGATATAAGTGGCAGCTTCAAGAGACAATAAGTTTTGGGGTGAGGGTGGAAGGTAACCAAAACTGATCTGGGAGAACATTAGAGACTGGGAGGTGACAATTAGACTTACAGTTCTGGTAGCAATCAGTACACAGCTCCCCGTAGGACATACACAGCCCCAGATCTTTTGAATATTTATACTTCCCAATAATCAAAACTTCAATGAGGAGGTTTGAAATTTTGTTCCATTGCCACATAAGGAAATCTTTTCTCCTAGTCATTCTTTGAAGAACATTCTCTATAGCACTTTCTGTTGAATTGGAGAAGACCATAGATTGGATGGTAAAGAAAATTTATAAAGAAGAGACGCTGACAATTATGGAGGCAGGGGAGGATAAGAACACAGTGATGGCACAGTGCAAGGACACTCAAGCTGCGTCATGACATGGTGGAAAGGGACTGGGAAGTGGGCACGTGCAGGAGAATAGGTAAGAGAGTCAGACTTAATCTTGCAAAACAAACAAACAAAACACCTTGCTTTTTGTGATTAAGCAATCCACTCCTCTGACAGCAGCACTGATTCACTCACTAGGGCTTCTTGCTCACAACAGAACCACCAGTCACCAGGTCCCACTTCCCAAACCCATGCATAGGGATCGAGCCCCTAAGACAAGGACTTGGAGGACATGACTAAAACCCAGCCACACTGTCACTCCTTCCCTGCAGAATTCTTTCCAAATTTCTTTTAATTTTGTAGTTTATGCTCAACTTAGGGATTATGGGTAGGCTGATAAAGCTTGTCATTTTTAAAAAGAAAGTGGTAAGGAGTGATCAGCCAATAGTCACTTCCAACTGCCATCTGTGACAAGTCTGTAAAGCATTCCGTTTGCATAATACATGGGAAGTCTATTAAAATACAGCACACTGCTACAAGAAGGTGGAAAAAGTCTAAGTCAGATTATGTTTCCTTGTAAAATAGTCCCTCTATTACTGGCAACAAAGCTGAGTGTTTCTGTATTGCTTTAAATTGAAAATCCACTGTTCAAGGAATCCTTGAATAGATGCTATACCTAGTTTTGTCCAATGCTGCAGACATGTTGCACCTTCATAAGGAGCAGGGTGCTGAGCAGTGGGCACTGAGCAAAGTGGATGCCTGTTTAACTGACAGTCTCTGTTCTAGGGTAATCAAGGACAGATCCTCAATCAGTTATAAAGGCAGGCAGTGTGTTCACACACAATACAGACCTATATATATGACCCAAAAAGGCCACCTCTCTTGTTGCCAGAATGGGAAAATATATATCAAATACTTTACCTGTGAAAACAGAGTTTTCTGTGTCAGAAGTAGGCCAGCAAGCCGGTATCTTGACAGCGTGCTAGAGGCTCTAACAGAGGGGGACTAAAGGTATGTGCTTTTCACTCATTCCCAACCTCAGGCTCTGAAGCATAATGTCATCTATGCTCTAAAAATTGACACTTTTCTGTTTGTCGAGGCTCAGTTTTTAAACACATGCAACTCTTCTCACAGCTTCAAGCCGGATTGCTTGCTACAGGTATGGCTTTTGAAAGGGTTTGAAGCTGGGAGAATTGTTATTACTAATGATGGATAGTTTGGCCCCCAACCTGCTCTACAAATTTTGGTGATTCTTGCAGGGAAATACAAAGGACAGAGGAATGGAAGAGGGTTTCTTATCTTCAGTATCTTCAGCATTTTAATTAATCTGGTCTAATAAAGACATTGGATTTTTCAGCAGATGCCATCAACTTGATGCCTGAAGCTTTTTTTTTTTTTTTGAACTACCAGCCCTGGAAATAACCTCAGAAGGTATTTTTGAATAGTTTGGTTCAACTCTGTGTGGAGTGTTCAGTCAGGACTGGAGACACTTATAAATGGCTTTCCTTTCCAAGCAGCCTGAGTGACAGTCACTCCTATATCATACTTCTTTCAAGACAGATGGTGAGAACACAGTTTGCTGTTCAGTTTCCATTCACTGCTGTCTTTTCTAACCAGCATGGAGAAGCGAGCTGCAAAAGAGAAAGGCCTTCAAAGCCACTCAGCCTAATTTTAACAATGCTGTGGAGAAACTGCAACTCTTCTATTCTGACTCTCTCCCTGAGACATTGAGAAGCATGCCTTAGGTTTGCCATCCAAGGTTCACAACCGATGAAATTTAGGTAATGTCCTAAATCTCAATACAGGAGACATTGCAGTTTCCTGTGCTGCACAGATTATACCTATTAGTGATTAGCTGGAGTTACAAATAATGCATCGGTATTGCATTAAGAAAAGAACTAAAGCCCTTCCCCTTGAAGTCATTTAACTAAGAGTGAGTCTAGATTTGAGTTTTCTACTTCATTTCCCTGGGTCTTCCTTCCTGTGTCTGTTGCATGAGTCTAAATCTCCACCTGCCTGAAGGTTGTCTTGTGAATCTATTTGTCCCTGAGTCTGTGTCTTCTGTCTGTATGTGTCTGTCTGTTTCTGTCTGTGTGATTGTATGCATCTCTATGACTATTTGTTGTGTCTGTGTGAGTCTGTCTGTGAGTGGTACGACTGTCAGTGTGTGTTGATTGTATGTGTCTGTGTGTATATGTATGTGTCTCTGTGTGTTAATGGTGTCTGTCCCTAACAAGAGGCTTTGCTCTGTCTTTATTGAACAGCACAGAATGCATCACATGGGGGAAGGAATGCTATACTTTACAAAAATCTTTAACAGAATTTTACAAGGGATTAAGTCACTGGCTCCAACTGATCCCAGCTGACCCAGATAATAAGCATCATCGTTTATCAACCAATATCTGTACATGAATGCTCTCAACTATCATGGTAAATTTTAGGAAGTTGCTTTCAACTTCTCTATTTGCTGCTTTCAGCAAACGATGCACATGTAACTCTGAGTGAGGGGTATGGAACGGTATGGAACTTAAGATTGCAGTTATGCACTAACTTAGGTTGTAAAAGTTCATCACATGGGAAATCCAAGGCAAATAAGATTGGTTGTTGCATTCTTCTCTTAAAAGCAGATTAAACAAAGAGTTGGAATACCCAGTATGATAGCAGTCTTAAGTGACCTCAGGGTGTGTTACTAACTTTGGCTGTGAGGTCCCCAATCTCTTAGAATGTAAGAGATGCTTACAGAATATTGCCCTTTCTGACACCATCATTAGCTTCCCTGCATGTGGGCATTACCATTGGAAGAATCTGATTCATACTTTCTTTTGAGTTGATTCTTTTTATCCCATGATGCCACAAAAGAAAAACAAAGATCTACCAAACTCTTGAATATGCAACATCTGAATGTATGTTTTCCTTTAATATCCACATTGAGTGCTTAAGTGGGCTTCCCACCGTGCTTTGCTGAAATTCTTCATGTTAATATTACAATACCAAAAGATAAATGTGGTTTTACAGATGACACAGATCTCATACATTTCCAGACGTCACCTGGCTCATTTGCTGCACAGTAGAAGTACAAGGGTAAAGCTCTGCATTCTAACTCCTGTCACTAAATAGCTCGTCACTGCACTCATTGCTCAAGGTGATGCTGGAAACACTAGCTTTAGTGACAAGACCTGAGCACCTGCAGCCTTACCTTTTAATCCAATCCAGTCTTCCATTTTGATGAATTCCCACTTCACTGATCAACACCTGCATTATGCTGTGCTTGAAAAGGAAGCTGGTTTTCTTGGGAGCAGATGAAACAGAGTTCAAGTAAGCCTTACCCCATGAAAACTATGGTTGTCTCAGTAACTCTGTGCATTTGTATGGTCAATCAATTTACAATGCACCTCTAGAAAGTTCAAAGACTCAGTCAAGTACCCTAATCTTGGAGTCCACAGTTCATTATTTAGTCAAGTATTGGATGAATGGATGGATGGATGGATATGATAAATGGAATTGAATGGCTATATTGATAGGATGAAATGGATGAGTGTGTGGGATGGACATATATATTTATAGATGGAATAGATGAACAAATTAACAGGGACATCATAATGCAGAAACAAGAGTTCTTAGTATAAGATCCTTTTCTTCTGTGTCATGCTTTAACCAACTATATTTCTGGCACTAGTCCATTCCTGATGCTGACTGCCACCTTAGTTACTAAACTCATAATATATCCAGCTCTAAAAGCTTGGGTTTATCCCTGGTAAACAGCCTGGTCCATCTGGAAGCTTGTCATTAGTTTAAGAAATGAACTTTACTTTCCTTGCATGGTATATATCTATATTCCTCTCTCTGTTGCTAGCCCAAAGAGCATCAGAAAATAGGGAACCAGCTTTTGTGCTTCAAATATAAGATAAGCATTCCGACTTCTTAACCACAGAAGATGATTATGCTGCGCTATTACTTCCATTCACATAGCCCCGACTGTTTGTCAGGTATGTTCCAAAAGTTGTTAATGAAAAGAAAATGGACAAGAATCCTTGCTCTGATGCAACTTCCATTCCAGAGGAGGGAGCCAAACAGTAAATAAAATAGACGTGCAAATTGGAGGGTGTATGAGGGGGCATCTCAGAAGTGTGATAGCAATGAGAAGGGCAGGGTGCAACTTTTAACAGTGTGGGGCTCATACGTTTCCCCACAGAAAAGCAAATTGAAATCTTATCTCTAAGCACCTCAATATATGAGTTTTATTTGGTAATGGAATAAATAGTGAACTAATTCCTTGTGGTATGATCATAGGGGACTAGAATGGGCTCCTGAAACAGTTTACACTGCCATCCTGAGAGACAACAGGAAGACACAACAATGCTTGAACTTCAGCTGGGGAAGAAGGATCATATTCCCTGGAGGGTTCATCAAAAACACAGGTGTCTGGACTGAGGACCTCTTCTCTAGGCACTCCGACGTGAGACCAGTAAGCATATATGTATAACAGGTTGCCTGTTGATGCTGATAGTTCTGTCCCAGGGTCTGCCAAATGGATTAATTTGTAGAGCTTCAACACGACCTGGACCTCTTTCTGTTCTAAGCTGCTGAAAGCCATTCAGAGAGTTAGAATTGAGAAACAACAGATTCTGACTTCCTTTTTAGCAGCACACTGGGCCTGCTGGGGTTGGGAACAGACTGTGAGGAATGAAGGGAGGAAGGAGAAAAACCCAGTTATGAGATAATCAAAATAAGTGTACAGTGTGAAACAGCTGTGTAGAAGCAGCTAGGAGCTGAGCTCTGTTGCATGTGACCCAGGTTTCTTTCTTTTTTTTCTTTTCTTTATTTCTTCTTTTTTAATGTCAACAGTTTATTTGTGATTTCGATAGAGAAAATGTGTTTAAAATTTAATGTAGGCTACTCAAAACTTAAGAAATAGAAACAGACCTTAATAGGCATGGAGAGTTGTAGGACAGGATCTTTGTTCTTATATTTTTAGTTGTGAGCCTAGCCTTTAACAGCTAAGCCATTGCTCCAGCCCCAAGGTCCTTGTTCTTTAGGAAGCTAACAGACTGCTTATAATGTGTGACAGCCAATGTGTTAGGGTCCAAGGTGCCCATTAAGGCTTTGTAAGTAACAACTCAACTTCACTGGTCTCTGAGTAACTTTGGGTAGATAGATGGTTTATGTTCAGATTCAAATGCTGCTTCTGCCTGGTTGCTTGACTTCTTTCCTTCCTTTTTCTTCCTTCCTTTTCTTCTTTCCTTCTTCCCTTTCTTTTTTCTTTTTCAGAAGCCAGAGCAATTTTAAGTATTTGTTTTGTTTTTTGAGATTATAATATAATTACATCATTTCTCCCTTCCCTTTCCTCCCTCCAAAATCTCCCATATATGCATCCTTGCACTCTTTCAAATCCATGGCCTCTTTTTCATTAATTATTGTTGCTGCTGTTGTTGTTGGTGGTGGTGTATGTGTTTCTAAACACATAAATCCAACCTGTTCCGTCTGTATAATGTTACTTATATACATATATTTTGAGAGCTGACCATTTAGTATTAGATACCAATTGGTCTGACATTTCTCTCCATCTCAGCATTCCTTAGTTGATGCCTCCTGGGCTTTCTCCCATCCTCAGGAGCATGCCTATTGTTGACACTCTTGCTAAGCTCATGTTTAGGTAGTCATGTTGCTGAGACTTTATGGGTGTATCTTCTGAAAAAAATATGCATATATAGTTTGAATGAAATTTTCAAATCCCGGCTGACAATGTGCCTTCTAAGAGCCAAGGGCCATCTAACAAAAATCCCAACACTATGAAAAACACTCTTCTAAGCTGTTGGCCATGGTTGTCCAAAAGATTCCCCACACACACACAACATTAATAAGCTATTGCCTTTGGCTGTCCCCAGAGGTGGAAGGTAAGTCCCTTTGCTGAAGACACCATGTACTTCAGACACAGGGCCCAGAGGCCCCTTAGCTGAACTGACTTAAAAGCCTCCATCCTAAGGACTAGCTTTCATGGACCCATAAGGTGCCTTGTAATCTTTAACAGGAGGAGAGCAACTACCAATCCTACTCAGCCATGACACTTATGAACCACAATAAAACAATCACCAGCATAGCATGATAACACTAAGGATGCAGAAGTGATACTCATACCTTGGAGGTAACCAACAGTTCTCTAATTGAACTTAAGACCCACTCAAAAAGAGGGAAAACATGCTTGGGACTAGAAACCTAGCCAGTTGCCCAGGGTTAGTGAAGTCATAGATCATGAAGGAGAGTCCGTCACTTTATTAAATCACCATAAAGCCAGTTACCCAGGGTTAGCGAAGTCATAGATTTTGAAGGAGAATCTGTCACTTTATTAAATCACCATAATACCTAACTACATCTAAATACTTACATTTGCACACAGAGATAAGTGTTGTCCTCATCCTTCATCAGTGAAACTTGTCTTTACAACACGAATAGACCATTACAGAAAACCATAACCAATGTAAATTCAGAGTTGCTCAGCCCAATCCCAATGGATACATCTAAAACAACACTCCTGGACCTAAAGCTCAGGGATCATTGTGGAAGAGACAATGGGAAGATTGTAAGAGTCAGAGAATCGGGGAGTTTGCTGTGAGATTGTGACCCAGGTTGCTTTAGAGCACTGAGAAGTATTTGGGTATAGTCCACAGAATACAAATACATAAGAGATTTGATTTACCTGGTGCCTTGGAAACTCAGCATTCTCAGAGAACAGCACATATTTAACATGAGCTATATTGCTTCTGAGTGGTTTCAGGTTCCCCTCCACTCATCCATTCAACAATCCAACTCAATTCATGTCTTGAAATTCTGAAGGACTCCAGGGGCCATTCTTTGGAGGTATTTCCTAAATGGCTGGGGAAGGAAGAAAGGGTCCTTTTATTCTACCCTGTCACTGCCTCACAATCCTATGGACTTAAGAGCTTTTGTTTCAATGGCTAATGAGGATGAAAGCACACATGTTGTGTTCAAGTCCTCAGCCCATTCATAAGGTGACATTTAAGATGGTCTTGAAATAGAATATACATCACCTCTTTATATACACCCCAGGTCTTACAATGAACTGTTTTCAAACGTGCAGAAGATAAATCCTACACATTGAGTGACTGAAAAGTGCTGTTTAGACAAGCCCAATCCATTCATTCTCCGAAGCCTGTGATTTCTAATTTACCTGTCCTTCTGTCACTCTTATGAACTCTCATTTTCCTGCTGATCTATCATTTTGACAGTATGCTCATCACATCCACCCAGATCACTTCAAAAACACAATGATTTGGCGTTTTTTGACTGTTTGAAAGACATTTCGAGCTGCCTCATTTGGATTTCACCAATGCCCTGTTTTTCATTTTTATTTTCTTCTCTTTCTTTTCCTTTTCCTTTCTTTTCCTTTTTTCTGAATAGTCTGTTTAAATAACTCAGATCCTGAAGGAAGATAGAGGGTATGAACTTTTCCTTCCATGGCAAAAGTGAAGAATCTCTAAATTTATATTCAAACCACTTACGTGCAAGCACACTAAATCATTACCTAGCTGAGCGTGATCAAACTAGCTTCCCTCTCCCTGGGTCTCCCTCGCAGCAAGTTAAGGATATTTGGACCGAATCATAGAGGCCTTTGTGAGTACTAGAAACAGCTGCCAATCAGTGTCCCATTTTAGCTTTCCTTTCTAGTGGTGATGGCGCTGGGTTTTGAGCATCATTAAGTATGTGCTCTGTCATCAAAGTCATCTTGCCTCCTGATTTGGCTTGAAAGGAAGGCAGTGGTTTTAATTTGTGTCCTCCGTGATATTAAAGCCGAGATCCCAATCTAAGCCCAAAGGGGCTGCTCTAGGAAGGAAAATGAGTGAAGCATACATACATAAGCAGGAAGAAACACAGCTGAGAATCAGAAGCTCACAGCCCAGGAAGAGACAGGGCAACTCTAAATGAAGAGGCCCTGCTGCTACCCAGCACCCGTAATGCATCATGGGGAGAGAAATGAAGGCTTGATAGAGCACCCTGTGTCCAGAATCTCACAAAGTTCATTTGTGCTTATGGTGCTTCAATCCTTAAGTAACAAGTAATTCTAATTAAAAAAAAAAATTATCTCACTGCTTGGACCAAATCAACAGGTTGGTCTTTCAGATGACTCTAACCCATACACTAGGAGTTTGCATGATGAAAGCCGTACTGAACAGGATTTATACTTTGGGGATTATTTTTGCATGCTGAGTTTCATAAGAGGAGGATCAGCTTGCATGCATCCTTATTTTAATTTTCTCTCTGGAAAATAACCACTAAACCTTCCTATGCCCCATCACAGAAAACGTAAATCAGTTATAATATCCTAAGTTAAATAGAAAGGCAGGTGACCAAGGATACTGTAAAATGCTAATAAGAAAGTATGAACAATTTTCTAATGAAGCCCTATACAACTGCAGTTTGACCTGCTTAAGACTAAATAGATAATGTATTCTCTATTTCTTATCATTTCAATTGGCTAAAGGCCAAAACAGTAAGTATAAATAACAAGAACAACCTAGAAAGTCAAAAATAGAAGACGGACAATACTATAAGTAGAATACTTCTATTTCATAGAGAAACTAAAATTATTAAATTGTAAGTACCTTTAGAATACCTAAGTAGTTTTTTTTAATTGATATTTCAGTTAATATGTAGAGGCCTATAAAATTTTCAAGAAAAAGTACTTAGGTTTATGGATTTTTCTATATAAATAAAATTAGACCCCTGTCAGTTTATACTGTGGATATTGCACCACATTCAAAAAAGTCTGGGTGAATTTTCATCACTTTTGGTGATCTAATTGGGTGGTCTAAGCAAAAGTGTAGTGCTTTGCCCAGAGTGGCTCCAGGATTTGACCCAACTGGGGTGGTGAGGGAATGAAACGTGACAAAATACAAAGCAGCAGGGATCCGATGGACTGGATTCTTTGGCGGAGCAACCACAGCAGTCTGGGAACTCTGCACGTTTACTGTGAAGAGTCGAACAGGGTAGCTGGGTTATTGCAGCCAGCTGAATCAGCCGGGGTGAGGAGGCAGATTTATCTAATCCCCGTAGGAGGAATCTCTCTAGTGCAGCAGTCTTCAGGCCATGAAAAGCTACAGTGGACATTTTCTGCACACACTATCAACATCTTCACATGGACCAGAGGAAGGCTTAACCACCCTTAGGAGGATGTGGGGGAGGCTTTACCATTTTCCCAGGGGTATGAGGCTCTGGTTCTTGATATGGCCATGCCCATGTCAATAGCACACATTCACTCAGGACATCATTCATTCAAGTCTCCCTCCATTTGCCACAGTGTATGCTGTGCTTTGTATCTCAAGTTAGGCTTTCCACAAAAGAGCCAGGGGAAATAATCTTGGGGAATTTATCTCAGACATGATTCTGACAAGCAGGGAGGAAAGAGAACAAGCCAATACACAATACAACTGCATTATGAAACTGGAGGCA